GGGTGGTGGGTGGGGCTGTTTCTGCAAAGCTGGTGACTGACTGGGGCTCCAAGTGGGAGTTTCCAGACCAAGAGGACGGGGAGGAGCAGGCGTGGAAGATGAGGTTCCCAGAACCTGCGGGTCTGGGCGCCGCTGCTCTCATCCCTTCCTCTGTAATTGAGGGTCTTTGGGGCAGACATTAGGAAGACAGGCCCAGGGGACAGCAGGCCTCCACGTGAGCCCTGGCAGCCACCCCTGTGCTCCCTCTCCTGAGCCACTCCGAGTGGTCTTTCCTTGACTGTCCCGGAAATTCACAGTCACGGAGGAGCGCCCTCCTGCCGCTGACCCTGGCTTCAGAACTTGTCTCCCTGCCCCTTTTTGAGGTCATGGCGTTTGGCGATGTGATTTCCAAATTCACGCTGGAGTGACTGAAAAAGTACTGCTTGAAGGAAAAGTGCTCCAGGGGCCCCGGAAGTGGCACAGTCCCCGCCCGCCAAGTGCCAGGGCTGCAAGGGCGTGGGGGGCTGGCTGTGATAATTCCACGTGGAGAGACGTGGCTTTTAAGTGGTCGGTGAGACTGGTGGGAAGCAGCCCCTTGGACGAGCGGTTGATGTTGAGGCTGCCGGTTTCACGCAGGTGAGAACCGCCGTCTCACGTGAGGGGAAGACGGTGTCAGCTCAGAGTCCTGACGCCTCTGTTCTAAGAGTGCTGGCTGCTTCCTGCTTCATCTTATTCTCCGACTCTGGGAGAATAGCCGCTGGGAGTGCTGGAAGCGAGGAGAGTGCGTTGAGCTGGCTTGTGGGCGGCTGTGCTCCATCAGCCCCAGCACACTTGGTTCCCACAGCACCCGCCCCGAGACATGCTGGCCACGCAGAGGCCCCAAGGCTTGTGCCCCAGAGCCCTCACTCCACAGGATGGGCGTGCTCTTCACGTCTGTGGTCCACGTGGGTGTCCAGCCCACCAGGCCAGATGTGGTCAAAGACCTTCTGGGGTGCAGAGGCATGTTCTTGGACTTTCTCTGTCCCGCAGTCATAATGTTGCACAGCTGGAGGGAGCACCAGCCTGTACCGCGCACCTGTGGGCTCTCCTGGCGTGTCCCTCCCAGCAGGCTCAGGAGATGGCTGTGCTTTACCCTCACGGCACAGACGAGGAGCCAGGGCCAAGCTAGTGCCCTGTTCACGCAGGTCACAGCTGGCAGGTGCGTCCCTGTCGTCAGGGAGGTTTGTGCATCCCAGGGCCCAAGAGCAAGCCGGGTTTGCTGGGAGAGCAGCTCCACCGCTGCTTGTTACCCTTCCCCCCTTGCCGCCCTCCCAGGACGCGGGCAGCCAGCAGATCGGGTTCTTGCTGGGAAGCTGTGGGGTGACGGTAGCCTTGACGAGTGACGCCTGCCACAAGGGGCTGCCAAAAAGCCCGACTGGGGAGATCCCACAGTTCAAAGGTGAGCCTCGGCCCCGCGCCCCCCACCCCCGCACGAGTTCTCTGCCAGCATCCTGTGTGCGTTCAGCCCGAGCCCTGAGATCCTGCTGCCGGGGCTGCAGCCCGTGGGCATGGTCTTAGACTTAGTGGAAACCCCGGGGGTCAGCCTGGCTGTGCATTGTGAAGCGGGCAGCCAGCAGGAAGGTGGTGGTCACACCTGTCTTCTGGAGATGCTTGTCTGACAGGAATTTGTCCTTTATTCCCAAGGTTGGCCAAAGCTCTTATGGTTTGTCACAGAGTCAAAACATCTCTCTAAACCTCCTCGAGATTGGTTCCCGCACATTAAGGATGCAAATAATGACACTGCATATATCGAGGTGAGTTGCTGGGTCTGGATGAGGTTGAGGAACTGAGCAACAAGTACTCTTACGGGTCAGGGCCCAGGGTCACCGGTGGTGTGAGCCCTCGCTTCACCCCCGGACGCTACCGCCACCATCTTCTCATTGCAGTACAAGACGTGCAAGGACGGAAGCGTGCTCGGGGTGACTGTGACCAGGATCGCGCTTCTCACCCACTGCCAGGCCCTCACCCAGGCCTGTGGCTACACGGAAGGTACGGGCGGACCCCTCCTGTGGGACCCTGACCCCAGCCCCGTGGGATGTGCATTGTTCCCACTGGTTACAAATGGGGAGTTGTGATGAGTTTGCACCCGGCTGCACGGAAAGTCAGTTTGTCGGATTATTCAGCTAGCATCTTTGCTCTGGTGGGTAACGGACACTGCAGACCGGGGCTTAAACAACCGACACGGCTGTTTCACAGTCTGGAGGCCGAAGTCCGAGATCCAGGGCTGGAGGGTTGGTTCCTGGTCTGCA